GCTGGAGGGCGGGCAGAGCCCTCCCCCCCCAGCAGCAGTGCCCGTGGGTCCCCAGCGGGTCTCCTCCGTGGTGTTTTAGGGACTGAGGTTCCAGCGATGCTGCGGAGCATCCGGCAGCGATCCCGGCGGCAGGGAGTCCCCTCCGCTGGAGCAGCACCCGGCGGGGGCACAGGATAAGGGGCTGGCTCAAGACCTCTCAGGACATCAGGACTTCTGGTCCTCACTCTGGTGGATGGTGACCGGGCAGCGGTCCCCAGGCTAACTCTGGTTTCCATCATCCCTGCGGTGTCAGCCACACCGGCTCCCGGCTCCTCTTGGAGACGAGCATCCGGCTGCCCGGGCAGAAGTGCTGTCGCCTGGCGCCGCGCCGGCTCTACACACCTGGCCCCAATGCCCTCGGCACCAGCCACCGGTGTCAGCTCTGCCCAGGGGGACTTCCCACCCCATAACCATCGTCTGCTTTGCTCACCGAGCAGCTCATCTGGCCAAGGACCCGCTCCTGGACCTGCCGGGAGCTGGCAGTGGGCAGCTCGTTTGTGTTTCAGGGCATGGATGGCAGGGAACGTGCCAGAGGATGGGCGTGATATAACAGACTGTGGGCACACGTGGCGGGTGACAGGCAGGGGATATTCAACAGGCACGCGTGGCCTGTGGTATCATCAGGACATGCTGTGATGCCTGCGAGCCAGGCTGAGCCCACCAAGCAGAGCTCACTGTGGCAGGGACTGTGGCCATGTCCCACCCCATGGCTCTGCCCTGGTGCAGACCATCCCGACGGCCACCCTCCTCCAGGTGGCTGTCACCCAGCCAGTCATCCTTCTGCAGGGTGGGTCCTTGGTCAGGCAGACCTGGTTGACAAAGCCCTGTGCTGCTGGGGGCGTTGTCACTGTGGCGGCTGTGCCAGGCCAGTCCCAGCACAACCATTCCATGGCACAGGACCTGCGTGCCCAGGAGCAGGGATCCCACCTCCTGGGATGGTGTTGGGAACCATCAATCATGGTGTCCTGGGGGCTGTGGCGACAGGGTCTGCATGGGCGCTTGCCAGGCCCAGATGCTGGCATGCCTGGGCAGTGACACCCCCAGCACAAGCAAGGGGGGAGCTCCCAAAACGAGGTGGCTGAGACAGCAGGGGCAGTGCTGGTGGCACATTAACTGGACAAGGAGGAGGCCAGGGGCAGAGTCCAGGCCAGTGGGGGGAGCACCGAGCCCTGGGGTCAGGGTCCACGGGGTGGCTGGACACTGCTGGCACAGGATGCACTGCGCTGGGGTGCTGGGTGCTGCACGGGCAGCCTCCGCTGCTCCCCTCCTCTGGGCTCGGCTCTTGGGGATGGCAAGGCGCAGCATGGCCACCAGCCTGCTCCATGTCCCCCCACCCCAGGGGTTACTCCGGCCCCTGGCTGTGCCAGAGAGGCTGCTGCTCGGGCCAGGGCCCAGCAATGTGCCCCCCCGCATCCTGGCTGCAGGCGGACGGCAGCTCCTGGGCCACATGCACCCCGAGGTGCTGCAGGTGAGCCACCCTGGCACAGCCTTCCTCCCCTCCCCTCCTCTCCTTGCAGCCCCACGAAGGGCTAGGGCAGCTCTGCCAGGGTGCAGGGGCAGCAGCAGTGCCAGTTGGTTCCCTGGTGCCGCAGGTGATGGATGAGATCAAGGCAGGCATCCAGTATGCCTTTCAGACGCAGAACTCGCTGACCCTGGCCATCAGTGGCACCGGCCACTGTGCCATGGAGGCTGCCCTCCTCAACCTGCTGGAGCACAGTGACACTGCGCTGGTGGCCATCAATGGCATCTGGGGACAGCGCGCCGCCGACATTGCCAGGAGGTTGGGTGCGTTGGGGAACGGCTGGGTGGCGCTGGCAAGGCTCAGGGGACCGGGCTTGTGGGAGGGATGCCAGAATGTGACCCCTGGCTTGCTGCCCCCATCCTGGTGGCAATGGCCAGTGACACAGCTTCCGTGGCCGGAGAGCGCTCCAGGTTTTTTCCAGGGTGATGTCCCTCCACTTACGGTGGTTTATGGCTTTTCCACTGGGCAAATCTGCGGGAGGCCGGACCCTGGCGGGCAGCTGCGCTCCTGGTTCATGTATGACCGATTCCCTCGCGGAGCCGGCGGCTGCCCAGTGGGAGCCATGCCCAAACCTCACTCTCCCTCTGCCTGAATCCCTCCCAGGAGCCAATGTCCATGAACTGCTGAAGCCCCCGGGCGAGTACTTTGCTCCACAGGACATCGAGGAGGTGAGTGCCAGCTGCGGCACGGGGCAGCAGGCACAAGCCAGCCCCAGGGCAGCCACCCTCTGCTCTGGTTCCTGCAGGCCCTGGCACGGCACAAGCCCTCAGTGCTCTTCATCACCCATGGCGAGTCCTCCACAGGGGTGCTGCAGCCACTGGAGGGGCTGGGCGAGCTGTGCCATCGGTGAGTGCAGAGCGGGCACCCACAGGGGCTGGTGGCACCCCAAGGTCATTGCTGGGGGTCTGGGCATGGGGATTTACACGTCCCAGACTTTCCTCTGGCTCAGATGGTGCCAGTGAGACACATGGCCTCGGGGGGACTGGGATGCTGGGGCTGCAGGCAGAAGGGCAGCAGGGGGAGGTGGCAGGAGGAGGTGGCAGGGACACCAGACTGACCTCTGTCCTCCCACAGGCATGGCTGCCTGCTGCTCGTGGACGCGGTGGCATCCCTTGGGGGAGCCCCCATCTTCATGGACCAGCAGGGTAAGAGCCCCAGTGCCATCATGGGCACCCAGGGGACAAGGGGGCTCATGCTTGAGCCAGGGAGGGAGGGCAGTGGGATCAGCCCTTCCACTCGCATTTTGGGCTAGCGGCACTGGTCCAGCTGCAGCCAGAGAGCCCGTTCTCCTTGGGGGACCACCAGCAGCACCAGGGTGTCCCCCAGAGCAGCCCAGGCACACAGAGGACCTGCAGCACAGGCCAGCCTGTGCTGCCCACCCACTACCTGCAGCTGGGCTGGGGGGGCTCAGCGTGTCCCCGCTGGGAGCCCCTGGTCCCTAAGGAGCTGCCTCCCCTCTTGGGCAGAGATTGACGTCCTATACTCGGGGTCTCAGAAAGTCCTGAACGCCCCCCCCGGCAGTGCCCCCATCTCGTTCAGCGAGCGAGCCAGGTAAAGGATAGCCCCATCCCACTGGGGGGAAAGGCGATGGGGCTGGGGGGAGGCCGTCAACCCCCTGCTTTGCCAGCCATCCGCTCCAGCCCCGCTCTGCAGAGTGTACCCAGCAGCAGCTCCCTGGGGTCGGAGCCTGGCTCAGCCCTGGCAGCAATGGGCGCTGGAGTCAACCTCTGTGCTTGCTTTGGGTGCCCTCTCCTGCAGGACTGACCCCACTCCAGAGCTGGTGGGGTCAAGGTCCGGCTCCTTCCCAGCGCTCTGCTTCACCAGGGAGAAGATGCTGAAGAGGAAGACGAAGCCCCCATCCTTCTACCTGGACATGGGCTGGCTGGCAAACTACTGGGGCTGCGATGGGGAGCCACGAAGGTGAGGGCAGGCTGTCCCAGGACAGATGGCCACAGCCTTCCCACTCACAGCCTTTGCCCCGGCGCGGCGGCTGCCTGCCCTGCGGGATGCAGGCCCTGTCCCCATCCCCCCATCCGCTGGTCGCAAAGCGGACCTGGGGTATCGGCATCCCCCCTGCGCTGGGTGAAGAGGAGGGAGGATGCCCAAGCCTCTGTCCCCCTCACCGCACGCTGGAGCACTGCTCTGCTGCTGGCCGGGCTGAACCCATCCGGGTGCCCCTCGACTTTTGCAGGTACCACCACACGGCGCCCATCAACAGCTTCTTCAGCCTGCGGGAAGGCTTGGCCATGCTGGCGGAGCTGGTGAGCGACGCCAGGCAGGCAGGGGGGCACCAGCAGTGCTGGTGGGGCTCGGGGGGGCGGGGGGGGCCAGGACCTTCTCCCTCCCCCCCGCCCCCAGGGGCTGGAGAGC